GAATGAACCCCCTCCAACTATTTTGCAGATACACAACTTCCCAGGTTTTTTCATTCTTTCAGAATTTGTTACAAATCAGAGTGACAATACACACACAAACACATCAACCATCTGGCTACAATTGAACAAAGCGGAAATGTGCATTAGAATATAGCTATAGTTGTGAGAATTGCCCAAGTTTCTATGTGTGTTTTTGGGTGAAGACACAATAGACTATTTGTGTGAAAATGCCTGCGGCTGCAAACTTTGGCCTCAGAGCAAATCCACAGTCTGCATTTAGAGCCTGAACATCATTCCTCGAGGTGACTCTGTTGTTGTCCATGTGTGTAATATACAACAACACACAGTTACACATCTACCTGGTGGAGAATAAAAAACAGGTCTTTGTGTCACACTGACTTTAAATGGCACATGATGGTATATTAATCACTTTACTTTGGGCTGTGTCTAAACACTGCTGAGGCTGCAGTTTGGGGTAGAGTTAGGATGATTCTAAGGTCACTCCCTGGCTGGTGGTTTCGTCTGGGCGTTTGGAGTCTGTATTCTGGGGCCTGCACAGCCAGACTATAATTTACCCTTTGCATTTACTGTTTATATTCCTCTGAAGCTTTCTACGGAAGCAGAGCATTGTCGGTGTCACTGCCCAGCACCCTGTGTGGGACTCTCCAGTGTCGCCACCAAGCTCGATTCCACTGTGAAGTACTGTGGTCCAAAGAATATTTGACAGCAATTTAATTGTTAATAACTCTTTGGTGTTATGTTCTCAATTTTAAGGATAAGACGGTAATATTCAATATTTTCCTGCTGTCATTGGATCCCATGAAAAGACCAAAACCAACAGTGGATTGAGCCTGTGAAGGATTAGTGAAATCCAATAGGTTCTACTCATCTCCTTGGCTAATTCTTACTGTACTTTGGGGGGGGTTTCATTATAGGAACCTACAGAAACATGTCAAGCTGAGTAACTTTCATCTGCCCACTTTGGAGGTGCGTTCCTGGAGCGCCCCACAGGAGGTAGTACTAAAATAAAGTTCCAGGAAAGCAAGTGGGGAGGAGGTGTGTGCATGCAGGGCTGTCGCCCGTGACTGGTTAAATGTCTGCTCTTCACACCTGAACTGTTGGCGTTACTCACTGGTTTAGAGGTAAAGTGGGGACTTCAGTGAGTGGCACGCCGACAAAGCACTGAAGACGCCACATTTCTGCCGGTCTGTGTTCTGCTTGTTCAAAAGCTGTTTGACAAACTGCTTCAGTTTCTACAGTTTCCAGTAGACTAGATCAAAAATATTTTGTCCAGGACTGAGAAAACAATACTTCTGATACAGGTACACAAATGTCTGAGTAGTTTGTAGTGAAGGATGCTCTACACTTCTGCTCTACACCAGAGAGATCCACAAACACAAGGATCTTCAATCAAATCAAATCAATATTTATTTATATAGCACATTTAATACAACCAACACTGATCAAAGTGCTTCACACTAAGTCAATAAAATAGCCAAAATAAAAGAATTAAAAAAGGTAAAAAGAAGAGGGTAAAAGAATATACACCAGTGCTGACAAAAGATGTTAGAGCTCTACTTGGTATAAAACGTCAAAGTGAATAAGTAGGTCTTTAGATTGTTTTAGTGCTTGGCCAGAAATGGAGCGAATGCCTGGTGGTAAGACATTCCACGGTTTGGGAGGAACCACAGCAAATTCTGTTTTTCTCGACTGTCACTCGAAGTGGGTCATCTCTACTGGTATGTGATCGTCAAACTCTCCTTAATATTCAAAGTAAAGTGGTTAAGTTGCCTTTTTTAGGGGCTGGGTGGACTCGTGAGAGCCCAACCATCATTCTTGCTGCCTGTTCCACCATATATTCGGCATCTAAGCTACACACTTCCTCGCAGCAAAAGGGATCAGTTAATGATGACAAAAGATTAGACTGCTACTCGACATACAGCACTCCTCACCTGTCTATTCAGGATGTTTGTTGTATATTAGGTACAGTAGAATAAAAACACCCTGAGTCAGATACTTTTCACTCTGCTTCGTATAGACCTGACTGTTTTTTTTTTTCAGTTCTCCTTAGACTGAATGCTTAGTAACATCTGTGCGTGTTAGTCTGAGGTTATCCGAGCCCACACAGGCTCATGACATCATGCATTGCTCTGAAGTTCCTGCATACCCCAAAACCCACTGTACCTTCCCATCTGTCTCTCAGCCTGTCCTGACTTTATATCCACCCTGTTTTTATTCATCATTCATGTTTTATTTCATCTGTCACCCTCTCTTTGTCTCTCTCTGTGTCCCTTTCCTCTCACTCCACTCTGTCTGTGTTGGCCTGATCCCCCCCCTCCGTCCATAACTGTATATGGCATTGAAAAAGAGAGTTCTGTGGATGGACGCTGTGGTCTTGGCTCATGGAAGCAGACTTGTCTCTTTGTGTAAATATTTGCATAGAGGGATTATAGATGGTCCCATGCATTCAAGGTGGAGTCCCACTCTGCTCCAGGCCACATTAGGGCAAAGAATGGTGCCGAGCGGAGAACATGAGAGGAGATAAGACGACATGAGATGATGTGACAAGACTCAACAGAACTAGCAGTGGGTTTCTGAGGTCTGATACTGTATGTTGCAGGTAGAGATCTCACGTTCCATCTCTTTCTGTCTTTGTTTTTCTAAACAGGCACCGAACAGTGACCTCCCTGTCAAACATGTAGACACCATGGTGAGTTTCCTGTGTCACTCTCTTAATGATCTATCACTTACTGAATGCAAAGAGCCTGTTTTTCTGATTCAGTAATGTGTGTAATGACTGTCAGATATTAAGAGATGTTTCAGCTGGCATAAAATAAACGGCAAGCTGCTTTTACAACAAGTAAACCATCAAGCAGCTAAAACCTTTATCAATATAATCTATCAATAAAATCTGTAATTATAGAACAGCCTGAGGTGTATTTCTGATACATTACACAAAATGATTTTAGTGTGTAACCTCACCAGGAAGTCACATTTGGCAGTTTGGACTGGCTTTGGCACATTAAAAACCCAAATTACTGCCATTCATCCGGTTTCCAGTCATTTCCACTTATCCCATCAGACACAAAGAATCAACTTTTTTGTACTAGATAACTGACTTATCGTGATCTCTTACTGGTAAGAGATCACGACTCAACTCAAGTTGCAATGGTAAACCAAAAGGAGCAGGGAGCTCTTTGCTGGGAATCAAACCATGCTGCTGTACCACACAGTGCAGGCACAACGCTGTGATTAGTTGCTAATTTTTGGTCAGAAGCATGTCATTGTAATGTGATGCAAAGGTTTCAGGTGGTGCCTTCTGCCACGCACACTGGCAGGGAGGTTAAAGGTTAGGGTTGGCTACAGAGTGCAAATAGTTCATTTTCAAACCAACAAGGTTTTGGGGCTCAAAATGACTTTCTCGCTTTATACACTAGGCCTATGTACATATGGCAATCATAGGACGGTTTAGTGTAGAGAAAGACTGAGGCGGGGCAATATAGCCAAAAATATTATCTTTTGTTTTTCAAACATTTTCAAATCACTAACTTTTCTTTGCCACAATTGTATTGTCTTGTGTGACTGCCTGACTCTTCTTGTGGTTGGTTATTTTTGCTTTGCCAACTGTGTGTGTGTTTGTGTTTTTCCTTGTTTTGGCCCTACGTATGCCAGCTACATGAACCTGGGCTTTGGCAGCTAGAACATTCGGTTAAGTTTAGGGGAAGGCTGGTAATGATGAATCAAATGCTAATTGCCAGTTTGTGAGGGGAGGTGATCTCCAGTCTCCTGTTCAGGAGCTGAATGTGTTAAATGAGCTTCCAACATCTCAATCTCCACTTCACTTTTTCATGCATAAAATGTGAGCTGTGAAAATTGTAGTAATAATTGGCTAAATTATAAAGGTACAGTGGCAGAACAGCTTATGAAGTAATCATGACAGATTTTAGCTCTAAAGGTTTAGCAAATGTGAGCGAGCATAAGTTTGCGTTACTATTTTTGTCTATATCTCATTTATTTTGTTACACAGTGTAATGAAAATGAATTTAGATAAGATCACTTGGCAGTCACTTATTCATGTCAAATAATTCTGAGAGAAATAATGGTTTTCAGCCCAGAAACCCCAGGTATTCAATAAACTCTTGACTGATTCTATAATATCTTAAGCCTACATACTGTTGTTTTGGAAATATTGATGGAGCCTAAGTATAATAGTTATCATCTCTTGTGCATGTTAGGTCTAAACACTAAAATAAAACAAATGTGTATATATGTTTTGCCTTGGACTCACTTGGCACTGGTTGTGTATGACACATCCTCCTGTGAGTTTGATTTTGTCTGGGAAAAGAAGGCTCATGTAGCCAATTTAGAGTTACTACCCAAAGCCAAGTGCCCTCTTTCTCCACAAGGACCAAAATAATGTGTGCGTTTGTGGTAGCTGCTTTTATTGGCATCTCCCAGAAAAGCACAAGCTTGTCTTCAGGAGCTTCACATGGGATGATCTTTTGCACAGCTCATGAGTTTTCCTACATTTTGGTCTGCACTTTAACTGAAGGGCAGAAACTGAAACACACAATGATTAGCATACATATGCGATTAAGTTTGTGGTTCATGCACACTGTATGATTAGAGTACAGAGTACATGTACAGTATGCATGTGTTAGAGTGTATATGTATGAGTGAGAGTGTGTGTGTGTGTGTGCATGCTGCTACTACCTGGTCATGAGCATGTGTTGCGTGGTTACACTGTGACATATGAGAGATGTTTGTCTACACCCCGTGGCCTCGGAGCATCGAACAGATTTGTCATATGACCATGTGAGCCTTTCTCATTTCACTGGATCAGTTTCCGATTTGGTGTGACTCTGTTTCTAGGCTTTGTTCATTTATCCTGTTAATAACAGAAGTTACAGTTTTTGGTTTAAAGCATGTGGGTGAAAATACTGAGAATGAATACTAAATAATAACACACTTAACAAAAGCAGCATTCACCTGTAACACACTTTATGTATAGTATTTACATTTGGCTGGACATGACTTACACACAGCGATGAACAGCTACAGTCAGCTGATAGCGTTTGTGTGTACAAACCCCACATCTGCCTAAACAGGGAGAAGGGGTTAGCAGATGCAATTTAGATGTGCACACAGATGAGAAAAGGGGAGGGCAGGAGGGAAAAGTTGAATATGAGGGGGAGAGATAACGTGATGGGAGGCAGGATACGAGGGGGGAGGGTGGCCAGCACACAGACCGAGAGCAAAAGAGGGAGCGAGAGGAAGAAGGGGAAGGAACAGAAGGACGAGACGAGGAGCACTGTGGACGAGGCTGAGCTGGAGCATGCAGCGGGACGTGCAGGCAACAGCCCAAAATAGAGCCCTTGTGTTTTTTATTCTACCTCTTCTCCTTCTCTTCCTATGCTGTGTGAGACAAGGGAGAAGTTTCATAGAGGAAACTTCACTGCTGGATACAGAGCAGTGAGAGGACAGGGACATGAACCCAGGAGGGTCTGTGAGAAATCGACTCTCCTCTCTGAGGGGGGCATGGCGATGGAGTACGGGCTACCTTTTCAGGAAGGTAGGATGAAGTGGAGAGGCGGGTGGATTATTGGATGGATTTAGTGTCTTACGACTGGATGGTCTCTCAGATAGAAGCCAACACGGGTCTTATAGCTTCTAATTTTCCCTCATCTTCTCCTTCACTACTTGTTTTGTTCTTATTGACAGAAACGTTTCTCCTTCAGACTTTTACCAGCCTCCAACATTTTCTTCTTGCTCTTTACCTCCTTCTCATTTGTTTTTCCTCAGATGGTTAACTTGAATGGCCTGCTTGTAAAGTCAGTCTCCCCAGATGGTTTTCATCTGGAAACATGCTTGCAGGACCCCCCACTCCAGTTCCCACCTCTCCCACTACCTCACCTCCCCCCTCCTTTCCAAAGCAAGTTCTCGTAGGAGAGAAACAGGTCTTAGGACACGGACTGTGTGGTGTTCAGGGCTGGAGTGTCCGCTGATGTTGGTCTGCTTCAGTACTGCTGCAACACAAGAAACACTAACAGTCATGATTTTTTATTTATTCATGTTTTTTCTTGTCAAGATTCATAAACTTTTGCATGATCGGTTGCAGTTTACTGCTGTATTGTGTACACTCCTTTCATACCGTGCTGGTACTTGATGATCACGTTGTCTTTCAGTGCTTCAATGACAAAAACATCAACGTGACCACAGTGAAAGTTGTTGTACTGGCCATAGTGTCATTGTGATGCTTTTATTTACCCACATGGTTGCATTTTAACTTAAATACTGTGGCTCTCAGAATCCTCTGCACACCAGTTTGGATTTATTTCAAGCAAAAACTATGAATGAACTACTATCTTTGTTGCATGATGCAAATGGCAGATGTGTTCACCTTGCCACTCAAAAATCTGTGATGCACACTAACTATCACAGTACTGCTCAATATAAGTCCTTCTCTTAACCCTCTTCATGCTCTGGATTTGTCGCTGAACCCTTCTGTTGGGTCGTTTCTTGCTCATTCATCTCTGTCCTGACTCACTACAGCATATGGAAATGTTTAGGCCAAAGCACAGACAGAAAAGTGATTTGCTTTGTGTCGCCTCAGTTGGGCCATAAACTCGTGAACACTTGTGATGTGAGACCGAGCACAGAAATTGTGCATAGGATTTGTTCAGTTCTCTGTGGAGTTGCTGGCAAAGAACACTGGCAAACACTAGAACAACTAATTTGTTTATCTATATTTGTGCATTATGTGTATCCACTCAGTCCCTGAATCCCATGTATAATATTTTTAAATAAAAAAAAAAGGATTTGCAGTAGAACTAGGCTTATGTGTTCATACATTTACCCCAAATTCTTAAGCAGTTGGGAGCAGCTCAGCACGGCTCGGCTCAGCAGGAGAGGTCAAAAATGCCATTAGGGCCTAGAACTTGGCTTTTGTCTCCCCAGGCTACACCGTATGTGTCATTTTGATCAAACTTCACAAACACATAATTTACCAAGTAACCAAAATTTGGGATATTAAACCTAAAACGATCCATTTAGATTATGGAGTTCATTAACAAGTCTTTACTACATTTTTAAAAAAAGCTACAGCAAACTTAGTCATTTTAGAATGCATACCAGAGCTAAGCTATTTATTCATTAATAGGCCCATTTTTATGATTAACACATGTAATACAATTGTACACTGACAGGCAGTCAGCTGTTAGGAGAGCAGAGCAGACTGAAAGTGATCCGTGCATAGCATCGGTACTTTCGACAGTTAGTCTGAGCTAATGGATGGTGATGGATTACAGCCTCCTCCTGTGTACATGTGACCCAAACACCACAGGGGAGTGAACAAGTCCACATGCCCTTTGACCCCCCCCCCACCTCGAGTTGGTCAGCGGGGGAGGCGAGGCAAGTCAGACATAGTGGAGCTAAAAACTGTGCCTGCATGTGCCTCTCTGCTTTGCTGTATGAAGGTGTCATGTGAAACCATCTTCACACAGAGCTGCACAACATCAAAGAAGAGACTCTATCCCAGGGTGCACGACATTCTTACAAGGCTAAGTGGAGCAATAAACAGAATTTGTCTGGCTGTGGCTTTATTTTCAAAGGGATGAATACAATTTCAAACTGCATGTGACTGCCTGTTATACTGTTACATCACAACTTTGGAGCAAGTTGGGTCATACATCAGTTTACCTTCAGGCTCATTTTAACCATACTGAACACTACTTTGTTGAAGATTTCCTGGAACACAGAGACTCTTAAACAACATCAAAGCCTTCAAAGAGTTACAGTAGTCACCGCGTTTAGCCAAATCTGCCAAATCAACAGCATTAGCAAGGCTGAACTCGTGTGTTTATCAGAGAGCAGCTACAGGCAATAAGTCACTGATCAGTAGCAAACAAATCCACACTCAGTGGGACTGTTGACAACATTATGAACTGTATAGAAGTCCTGATGAAAGATAAAATACACAAAGACCTGTCAGAAATAGTAAACGTATGTATTGATATGAGGATATGGAGGTGGTTTTTGTACACATACTGTATGTACACACTGGAAAGTGCTTTTGTAGTTATGAAACACTGCTATAGGACCACTGTAAAGCTCTGGTGTTTTTCTTTGTTTTCAAGGGCTCAACAAAATCCTCCAAGAGCATGGAGTCAAGGCGCAGACCATCGAGGTGGGAGCTCTTCTGTTTTGTTCCGTTCTCTTCTCTTCTCACTGCAGGTTTCCCTTAAAAGTCTTCAGTCAGCTTATTGGAAACACATCTCTGCTGTTTTCAGAAAGGTCAGAAAGATAATGAGGCCAGTGAATCAAATATTAATCAAATTGTACCCATCTGAAATGCAAAGTTCGGCCTTAACATGAGATTTCCTGATTTTACCAGGGGAATTAGTAAAGCACTATGCCCCGGCGTTGACCTGGACCTCACACTGTTTTGTTGGACAAAAAGATATTTGGTGTCAACCTCTCTCTCCTTGGTTCTTAGGGAGCCACAGATGTTGTTGGTTGTGTGATGTATGTGTAAGACACACAGCAGTTCATGTTGAAGTGCTTTGCTACACTTGACTGATGCTTGATTCCCTCATGGCAAATTAAAGACTTGATATATGGTTATAAAAGTTTAATATATGATACATTGTCACATCAAACAGAACATATCGACTCTATATTACTCTATATTAATGTGTGAGGTCATCTACTGAAGCACAGTGCAGTGCTATGACTGTTATCCTCCAGCCCAGTGAAAGCTTCCAATCAAAGCCCCCCCCCCCTTTACTGTCTGGTGGGGCAGAATAAGTGAGAGAGAGGTCCAGGTAAAATAATGTAAGAAAAAAAGATTTTTTTTGCAAATTATATATGAAATCCTCAATAAATAAATCTGACTTTTTTCAGTACATGAGTTTCTCCCCAATCTGTAGTGATGAATAATTTCCATTAAGTATGTCCAGAGTGAGCGGCGATACTGGTATAAGCTGGAGCAGTCCCATCTCCCAGACATACAGTATGAGCGATTTCCGTACAGGTTACTCACTGCTGACAAATATGGGAAATATGTTGCAGTCTGGCTACTACACGTCTCGTTTCTCCTCTTCATCTCACCCTTCACTTTTATCTCTTAATGAATGCAGATGTTTCTCTCTGTACCTTCAGATAGTTTCAGGCTAGTAGTTTCCCCATTGCCAGTCCTTATGCTATGCTAACAAGTTGCTGACTGTAGCTGCATAATGAACAGATGAGTGGTACTAACTTTCTCATAACAAGAAAGTGAATTAGCTTCTTTCAAATGTTACAGGCCATTCCTTCACAGCTCCAAACAGTTCTGAAATGTTTCTTCAGGGCAGTACAAGATAAAAAGTAGTCCTGCATATTGGAACAGCTTTTGGGCTTTTGTGACCATCAATGTGGTTTAGTAGGGCCATAGTTAGCTCAGTTAGCTGTTGTCATGCACTGGATCTTCATAATCATGGTTACAATAATAAATGTTTATGCACAAAAACTAATCAACTAGGTTTAAGCAAAAAACACTTGGTTATGCTTAGTGTGTCCTGCATTACTTGTTTTCAGACCAACAGTATTGTTTTGCAAGGGAACCCAAAGTAAAGTGCAGAATCTTCTCTATTTCTCTGACAGGAGTGCGAGTCTGCTGCAGGCCCTGGAGGAGAACTATGAGCTGGACCTGATCTACATCACAGAGAGAATCATCTCTGTCTCCTTCCCTAGTAGTGTGGAAGAGCAAAGCTACGCTGCCAACCTGCGGGAGGTCGCCTCCATGCTGCGCTCCAAGCATGGCCACAACTATCTGGTACGGTTCCCTGTGTACAGGAACATAGCAATTATCTATCAAAACAAATGAAGCAAATAGCCTGAGACAGGATTATAAAGTCAGTGGTGCTGTCCAGATTTCCACCCACAGACAGACACGCTCACACAGAAGAGGCCTTATTTAACATCTGTGAACCACAGGCTTAAGTCATGTATATTGTTACATTTATCCTTTGTCAATGCCATGTAATGCCATTAATTTGTAATAAAGGCATTTTCTTTTCTTTCTTAGCTCTTCAACCTCAGTGAGAAGCGTTATGACATCAACCAACTTAATCCAAAGGTAAAGCTCACATCTTGATTTCTCATCCTCTCTGCACTCCCATGCATTGTACCACCACCAATCTGAGCACCTCTCTCCTCCTCTCTCAGGTGTTGGATTTTGGTTGGCCTGACCACCATGCTCCAGCCTTGGACAAAATCTGCAGCATCTGCAAGGCCATGGACACTTGGCTGAGTGCAGACAGCCACAACGTGGTGGTCATACACAATAAGGTGAGACTGGAAGATGACAGGATGGTGTGAGAATGAAACCAGTATCTCTGACAGTAGAGGGTGCTCTCAGGCTCTTCCCAGGACCCCCACTGTCCCTGAAGCTGCAGCTGTTTACTGTGTTTGTGTCCGTAATGGCATCCTCCCTGAGTGAAACACTGGCATCATATTATACTCTTGTGGCAAGCCACACTCATCCGGCTCCTAAGTATGCTAATACAAACCATAAAAAGTATATTCAAATACAACTAATAGGCCCACGTCCCTGATGTAATACCTAATTATTTGCACATTAACCCCACTGTGTTTCTGACTGTATTTTGCTAAACAGGAATTAACCACTGCATCCTGAAAAACCGTGCCTCACTCCAAGATGTTCCCACAGGGAGGTTACAAACACACGGGTTGCTATAACAACTAGTGTTCTTTCTCTGCAAGTAGAGTAACACTGGGGATGAGTGTGGGCTTGGAGTTTTGGTAGTCACTAAGGAAGCAGGCCGTGTTGGGTTTCCACATATCAACAAGTCATTTTCCCTGGAGTCCGTGGCCTTTAAGCAGTCATGATATTTATAATGCGGAATGCAATTATACTCCACAGTGATCCTTGGTTTAAAGATGGATAAATGTGTAAAATAAATGTTATTAAAGACTGGGTTGTTACCATAGTAACAAGTGCTTGACCTTAAGCTTGGTTGATCTTAAACTGTAGTAAAAACTGACTGACTGTACAACAAGGGGAATTAAACGTCCAGTCAGTTATTAGCCATATTAAATAAAGAATTGTCATAGATATAGGTAAATTTGTTATGATTGAAACTGATGTTACTATGTAAGTAAATATGTGAAGGGCTATTCCACCAGTTATAAACATAAAGTTCTGCTGACAAGACTTGAGGTGTACTTTTCAGCCTGTAAATAAAATGTCTTCTGTGGCTCTGACGTTTAAAACGATTATCCTGATGTCATCGGGGTTATCGTGTTTGTAGTTTTTAATTTCCTGTTTTGAACTTAGGTGGTGAGGCCGGCTTTTGGATGGAATTTGAATCATACTTTAAATCGTACTTCTAAAAACAACAGAATAGCACATATACCAGTACTATCCCACGAACCTCATGAAAACTGAATATCAGAAATATAAGGAAAATTTGTTCTGGACAGACCAACATAACCTGGAAGATAAAATCTGGAGCTGACTCCTGTCTGACCGATGTCTTTTCAGGGCAACCGGGGCAGAACTGGAGTTGTGGTGGCAGCCTACATGCATTATAGCAACATATCTGCCAGGTAGGTCATAAGCCCAGTCACAGTACAGTGTCCCTGTTTTCTTTGTCTTTGTTACATTTGTTTTAAGATTGACAAAATGTCATTCTGTTACAAAAACCAAGGAAGATGTGAACTGTTAAACAATCAGAGGAGCACATGATGGTGCAGGGTTGTTTTTAAAAATATACCGATTGGTCAGGGGAAAAAATGTAACTCACTTTCTTCCCCGTGAAAGTTTGAGATTTCTTTATAGTCCAACTATCACACAAGCCAGTTCAGCACTGGCAGGAAGCAGCTTTAAAAAAGTAAGTAGCATAAAAATGCCAGAACATGAAGCAACAGAATACTGTCATATGGTAATATAGATTTTATGGCAAATCTTGCATTGTGAGTAAATGTGTAAATGGACCCGACTCTTTTTTTTGCCCTGCAGTGCCGACCAGGCTCTGGACAGGTTTGCCATGAAGCGCTTCTATGAAGACAAAGTGCTTCCTGTGGGCCAGCCATCACAGAAGAGGTCAGTATTTCCTCACTTGCCCGTTACAGTAGTTTTGGGACTGACAGTGAGAGCTGATACATAAAAAAAACAAGTTTTAAATGAGACCAAAAGGTTCTGAAGACCTGACAGGGAGTGCAGTGTTGGGTGGTAATTCACTGGGGATTTCTGACTTCTAGCCATCTCTTTCACATTTCATTGTTAATATAGAAATGTTTATTAATGGACTGCTAAAGTGTTTACATATACATGCATGGTGCTCTGCTCTGGTCTGGCTACTTCAACACAGCTGAAAAGCTGAAAACATTCACTGTTGCTACCAGAGGGTCAAAATTCAAAAGTGTGTCTTAAACCATGAAATAATTTGACAGAAGAGGATCTAGCAGCATATATATGTCTTTTCCTTCCCCTGCCTTACTCAGGTATGTGGAGTACTTCAGCGGCTTGCTCTCTGGGAACATCAAGATAAACAACAAACCCCTATTCCTTCATCATGTCATCATGCATGGTATCCCCAACTTCGAGTCTAAAGGAGGTAGGTGTGACACACAGATATGGTGTGCACTCAGACACAAACACTATGTATGTTTGGCCAACTTTTTTAAACTTGTGTTCCAGGTTGTCGTCCTTTTCTCAAAATCTACCAGGCCATGCAGCCCGTCTACACATCTGGGATCTAGTAAGTCTTGAAACATACTCACACTCAGTGCTTTCATAAGATTCTAGGGATAGTGAGCCCATAATGGCTCAACAATAAAGACTGATTTTCACTTATAACTTCTCCCCTAATGCCTCTGCCCCCCAACATACACACGCACCATCCTCTTGCCAGTTTACACTGTGCTCGCCTCACATTATTATATTTAGCTAGCCTCCCCAGCTGCAGGCTCTTATTTCCCTACTTTAGATCCCTCAGTCACTTCTAGTGTTATTTGTGAGTGGAGGCCCAGTGAAATCTACAGACAGGCATCTGTGTGGATGCCTGCAGGCTTTTCCTGCCAGAGGACCCTGCTGGTTCCCACGGCCAGACAGGAAACAATGGATTCTCTGGCTTTTTGTTGCTGTTTTGGAAAGACAGAGGGGTAGGGGTGAGGACTGCACTGCCCCCTGATGGGTGAAGGTTATATTTACACAGTATTTGAAAGTGTTACAGTGAGGTATGCCACAGACACTGACAGTTCTGTCTGGGTGAACAATAAAAACAGTCTCTTTTTCCTTGTTCCTATTTGAAAAGGATACCTGCTAAGGTTAGGTCATGCACTTCCATTACTTAAAAGTGTTTCTTGGATAATTAACACATATTTTAAGCATTAATATCCTTATAAGTAAAATGATTAGCAGATTTAAAATTTCCTACTCATTGCAGCTTGGCTGAGGCAGCTTCAGTGCATGATTTCACAATTGGACAAAGACAATATGGCTTATTTGACTGATAGTTAAAGAATTACTGATTAATGAAATAATATTTCTGACAACTTGGCGAAGGCACAACATTTACACCTTTTAAAGATGTTATGGCTATGGTTTTAGCAACCAAATGCTAATTTAGCAATAGCAATAGCAGTATTATTTCTGGTATTTCTGTCCACCTGACACATCTCAGTGCAACGGTCACTCTCTTTTTAGCCTAGCTGCTAGTTGTACATTTAGGTTTAACAGCTAGTCATTACAGTCACCTTTTTCTGTCTGCTGTTTGATGCTAGGCAGGTAGCATACAGTATAAAAAAATATTTTGTACTGAAAACAGCCGCCTGCCACAGCAGGAAACACTGTTGGTAAGATCTGAGTTTATGGGTGAGAAGGCCAAAACAATGAGCTAAAAGACACTGCAACATTTCATAGAGAGCCACTGGACGGAAGCTAATATGGGAGAGATATGATCTCTCTTGCTAGTTCCTGTCAGTACTCTGGCTGCAGCATTTTGGATTAACTGGAGGCTTTTTAGGGAATTATTGGGACATCCTGATAGTAAAGAGTTACAGTAGTCCAGCCTGGAAGTAACAAATGCACAGACCAGTTTTTCAGCATCGCTTTGAGGCAGGATGCTCCTGATTTTGCCGATACTGCGTAGGTGAAAGAAGGCAGTTCTAGTGACTTGGTTTATGTTTGAGTTAAAGGACATATTCTGATCAAAGATGACTCAAAGGTTCCTCATAGCAGTACTAGAGAGCAGGACTATGCCATCTAGAGTAACTACATGGTTAGACAGCAGATTTCTAAGGTTTTCAGGCCCGAGTACAATAACCTCAGTTTTGCCCGAGTTTAGAAGTAAGACGTTACAAGTCAGTCCAGGTCTTTATGTCTTTAAGACATGCTTGAATTTTGACCAACTGATCTGATTCATCTGGGTTGATAGATAAATATAACTGAACACCATCTGCACAGCAGTCGAAATGTATGTTGTTTCCTGATAATATTGCCTAAGGGGAGCATGTATAAAGTGAAGAGAACTGGACCTAGCACAGAGCCCTGTGGAACACCATGAATAACTTCAGTCTGCGTGGAAGATTCATCATTAACATGAACAAACTGGAATCTTTCTGATAAATAAGATTTGAACCAGCTTAGTGCAGTTCCTTTAATCTCAATAACATGTTCAAGTTCTGATATATCCATTCTCATCTTAATTGTGTCAATAATATAACTGCTTTTGCAGCATGAAAACTGTGCTGCAGTCAGTGCTCATACAGTTTCAAACACAACCCCCTAAAGCCCTTTCCAAAACATCATCCCTATTAGCAGTCTCCATCCTTTGCTCCTGCTCTCTAACTTAGACAATCATGTAGACACTAATATCCAGAACTGTACAGCGGCTACGCTCTGTGCTGGCCACTGTTAAAGCAAATAAGGGGTTGTTACCAGATGATGTAGATCATGTGCTTATCGTTATATAGACACACAAAAAAGAACAAGTAAAATGATGCAAGGCTGGATCATACTTAATGTTCACAGTAATAACTTGTTCTAACTTGTTGCGACTTTTGCAGCAATGTTCAGGGAGACAGCCAGACAAGCATCTGCATCACCATCGAACCAGGTCTTCTTCTGAAGGGGGACATCCTGGTAAGAAGAGCACACAGAAAATAAAGTCATAGTGTCTAATTGGAAAGACAGCAGACAATTAAAACATTAGATTACTGTTTGAGCTGGTTGCATCACATTTCAGGAATTTAAAACTGGTAAGAGAACTGCAGATTATTTTTTTATGTCACTGGATAAGCTCTTAGTGTGAACTCAGTCACAGAGAAGGTGTATTGTCTCACTTTCACTTCTGCCATATTAAACATTGATTAGCATTGAATTCATAGTATTAGAAATTAGGGAATGTGTTTGTAACTGTCGCATGGGGAATTTCAAAGGGAGCACCTACTTTATGTTTAATGCTGTTTTCTGTTATAGGCCCACAGAGCTGAACCCATATCTCATACTTTATTTAAGACAGACTAATGGATTCTACTGGATGCATCATTTGGCTCAGCCACTGGCTGCTGACGCTCGCTATTATTCAGATAACATAGAAAATGTGAACTGTGGCCTTGTGGCCAAATGGGAGAGACATTAGTCAGCATGGAGTGTGTTCCTGCATTTGAGGCTGCAGTGGTGTGTTTGTGCAGCTAAACTGATTTGTGGATCATGTGACTGCCAATAAATTATCAATTGCTGAATGATTAGAAGAAAAATGACAATTGCAGAGGAAAATCTTTGTAAACATAATTCAAATTCTTTAGGTTTTGGGTGTTTTCATCTCCCATTGGCCTGATGGTTGTTTTAGTTCTCTGTTTGGTTTCAGGTTTGTTTTAGAGTCTTTCCACTGTGGAGCACAGAACAAGAAAAATACAGCTGAAGAAGTTTTGCAAACAATTTAGCAATTTATTCTGTACAAAACCTGAAATGTAAAATTGACATGTTTTGACGTGCTGAGCTGTTTCTTGGTCAGGTGTAGTGACTTCTTAACCAAGCACAACTTGTCATTTCTACACATAGCATATGCTAAACTAAGCTAAGCTAAGTGAATTTTAGCTACAGCTTTAAAGTATATTTATTGGACTGACGTTAGTTTTTATCTGAACCTCTGCAACAAAGCTAATAAGACTAATGTCAAACATTTCTTTTAACATTAAAGATCATTAATTCAGAAATGAGAAGGAGGGGCCTTTGGTCCTTTTTGCTGGTGTGTGAAAATTTAAATACGGTAAAGCTGAACTGTTGCTTTTTATTCGTCGACTTTGCTCATCTGTGTTGTTATCCTCATTAAACAAACCTTCAATGGGACAACTGCTGTCACCCACAAAGCTGTGATAAGCCCTGTATTTTCTTTGCCTTCCTTTCATTGTCAGTCTTTTCTATGATTGTGTGGATTTAATGATCTTGTATGTTTTGGACCTAGTAGAAAACAGGCTGTCAGCCCCATGTAGTAATTCTTAAATTCACATTTACCTGGTCCCATTAGCAGATAGCTGTGGTATTAGTAAAGCCTGCAAACACGCACTGTCATTGGAACAGTAAGATGGTTTGCAGTTGGTTGTAGTGTTGGTTCAGTTTTTTCAACTCTTTACAGCGGCGGTGTGTGAGCCACAAGTTGTCTGGGTCAAGGTACAGTGGGTACGGAAAGTATTCAGACCCCCTTAAATTTTTCACTCTTTGTTATATTGCAGCCATATGCTAAAATCATTTAAGTTCATTTTTTTCCTCATTAATGTACACACAGCACCCCATATTGACAGAAAAACACAGAATGTTTGACATTTTTGCAGATTTATTAAAAAAGAAAAACTGAAATATCACATGGTCATAAGTATTCAGACCCTTTGCTGTGACACTCATATATTTAACTTAGGCGCTGTCCATTTCTTCTGATCATCCCAGAGATGGTTCTACACCTTCATTTGAGTCCAGCTGTGTTTGATTATACTGATTGGACGTGATTAGGAAAGCCACACACCTGTCTATATAAGACCCTACAGCTCACAGTGCATGTCAGAGCAAATGAGAATCATGAGGTCAAAGGAACTGCCTGAAGAGCTCAGAGACAGAATTGTGGCAAGGCACAGATCTGGCCAAGGTTACAAAAAAATTTCTGCTGCACTTAAGGTTCCTAAGAGCACAGTGGCCTCCATAATCCTTAAATGGAAGACGTTTGGGACGACCAGAACCCTTCCTAGAGCTGGCCGTCCGACCAAACTGAGCTATCGGGGGAGAAGAGCCTTGGTGAGAGAGGTACAGAAGAACCCAAAGATGACTGTAGCTGAGCTCCAGAGATGCAGTC